TTGTGCCGCCGCGTGCAGGCGGTGGGGGCCGGGGCGGGCGGGGGAAGCGGGGGAGGGAGCACCCGGTCAGGACCCTCGGGCTGCAGAGTCCGGTGCCCGCCGGCCCGAGTCCAGGGGCAGCAGCGGGGGTCGGGGCTCGCGGTCTCTCTCTGGAGCGCAGAGAAGAGTCTGCAAGAGTTGGGGCTGCAGACGCGTTGATAGATGGGGTCGCCGACTGGAGCGTGTCTGACAGCGCAGGCTCCCGCCGCGGACTGGCCGGCGCCGGCCCTGGGGCTGGGGACATGCTGGGCTCTGCCCGGCGTCTGCAAACACCCGGCTTCCTGCAGATCCGCAGCTGGTTGGCAGCGCGCTAGGAGCACGCGTGGGCTTCTCCTGGAGGCAGCTAGCTGCGTGCTTGCTGTCCTTTAGGGTCTCTAGCATTGTGTGAGAGATGGGGGACACAGTCGGCGGGATGACTAGCAGACAGGCAGTGGGGAAGCGTTGTGTAAGATGTTCCTGGGGCCAGGACATTGGCACGGCTGTCACACAACTACCCAGCAAGGCCGCCTGGCCGGGGTGTTCCCACTCCAGCACCACCATCCCTATTCACCATCCACTCTGTCTCCAACGGACTGCATCCAGTGAGCCCCATGACACTGCATGCTTGTTTGAGGTGCAGGCTTGCCCCTGTCTTTACCTGTTGTCTCCGTGGGTTGTTTCAGGCCGTCTTCCCCAGTCACAGTTACATTTCTGAGAGCCTGGAATTGTATGCATAGTCAGGATCCACAAAGTGGTTTGCCTTGAAGGTGAAGAGCAGAGTGAAATGCGTGTGTGTATCGGATCCTGGGTGTAGGGCAGCCTCTTGGCATGTTGAGAGAGCCAGGGATCAAGGGTGGAGGAAAAGCTAAGGTCTGGTAGAGAAACTGATGTAAGCTCCGGATTAGGGAAGAGGGTGGTAAGGGAGTGCAAAGAAGTCTGAATAATTCTGGCCTGGGTGGGAGAATTTTTTTTTTTTCCAAGGAGATCCTCCTGCCTTAATTTCTTGAGTGCTGGAATTACAGGTGTGCATCCCCAATACCCAACCTAAGTAGAGGATTCTAAAGGAGGAAATTAAAAATTCAGTCCCCCTCTTCAGCCCAGCTCCTAAATGTCTCAGCATAGTCTGAGAGCCTGCCAATTCACCGGTTTGTACTTTGAGTCAAATAAGAGTCCCTTTCTCTTCTCCCTCTGGTCATTTATTCAACCCTGACATTCCAAGGCTGTTCAGCCCTACCCTTCCTCACATCCGGGATTTGCTGTCAGAGCATCGGCTCAGTTTGATAGGCTCTGGATCCGACTTTATTTGAACCTCTGTAGTGGCCTGGGGCTCCTGAGAGGAAGATGTATGTAGTTTGGCGAGGGCTAGGGCCTGCACACTTAGAAGCCACCCCCAGTCTCACTCACCCCGGAAACTTTGCGCCTTCTCAGTCCTCAGAGCTTAGTTAACAAATCAGCTGCTTGCTGGGCTTCCACTGTGCTCCCTTGATGAGCAGATTTGTGCCACCTGGGAAGGAGTTAAAAATGCAAAATTCCAGGCCCTGTGCCAGATCTGCCAAACTAGAACAGGATGGGAAGCCGGGCAGTGATGTTTCTGTAGCCCTGCACTCCTGGTCATGTGATGCATGTTTGAGAATTCCTGGTCCTGATGCTACTGCTTAGCCCTGCAAGTCCTCCAGCTGAGAAGCAGGTCTTTTCCCTTCCAGTCTCCATTCTTTCCTTGACCATTTTCTTGGTCCCTTAGAAAGACATTAAGAATAATGGCAAATTCATCCGATGTTTCTTTATTGAGTATCTATTTTACTGGGCCCAGAAAGGAATAAAGTAAATAAATTAAAAAGCCATTACCCCAGTTCTCAAAGAGTTAAAAGCAGAGCAAGCAGAGCAGTAACACGATGTGATGATCTTGGTGATAGCTGCACTTGGAGCACAGAGCCAGGATGATCACCTCTAAGGGAGGTAAAGAATCAGGAGCAGGATGTGGTGAGAGGAAGAAGTCTATAGAGGACAAGGCAGCCCAGGGAAGAGGGTTTCTAGTTGTAGCAAACCAGTGCCAGCAGAGGAAAGTGAAAGGGTCCAGCTGCCCTGCAAGTCCAATGTGTGCCTAAGCAGAGTCTATCCAGCAGCACTTGGGTGGACATAGGTTCCAGCGGGACGCCCAGCCCGAAGCTGATGGAAGGTAATGCTATGCTAATACTAACAACATAAGCTTCTTGGATCTGGCTGAGGTCAGTGGCTAAGAATAAGGGACTGCAATACTGTAATCTGGATTAACTGTGGCACCTCCCTTTTTGCCAGAGTTCAGGAATCTTTCTAGGAGAATAAAGTTGCGGATTTTCCAGGGTAGGGAGACACAGAGTCATGTGGCTGAGGGTTTGCTGGGAGTGTGAACTAGGAGACCCAGGTCATAGGCAAAGGATGTTCTGGGTAGGGACCATCAAACGGAAAACTGCAGAAATCTGGAGATGGCGGCTATTGGAACACAGATAGAGAACATATTGTCCAAAAGGCAGGGAGGGGGGCATGCAGGGGGGATGTGTGCTGCAGAGATGGAATGCCTAGAAACCAAAACTGTCAAGGCATAGAAATAGGGCCTCAGAGCCACAGTGCTGAACAGTGCCAAAGAGCACTGCCCTCATAATCTATGGGAGTAAACCCTATAGAGTCACTGCATGCTGACCCTAGGGGATCTGTGGCCTAAGGACACCAGGGCCTTATCTAGATCACAGCATCCCTGGGAACTCAGGTCTCAAAGCATGTTAAGTCCCAAGAGAAAAGGGCATTTCAGTGCTTGGGTTTTTGTTTAGTTAGATCCCAGCTCCAGGCTTTCTCCTGAAAATTCTAAGAGTACACAGAATGGCCTTATCAGCTGAACCTCCTTGGAAGGTCTGGAACTCATGCCTGGACTCTGATAGGTCCTTGGGAGGACCAAGTGGCCTCATCAGATAGAAGCCCAGCAGTGCATATTTGGGCTCCATGTGACTTATGGTAGTCTTAGGGACACATTTGCTTGGACATAACATCAGATAGTTGGCTTCCTTACATGACCACTCTGTAAAGTACCAAGATATAAGGTGGGTCTGGGAAACCTTAGAACCCACAGGAACCAGGCAGGTAACATAAATGTGTAAGGCCCTTGCATAGGCTACAAAATGGCACAGCAGGGTCCACAGCTAAACCCACCTAAAGGAAGTCAGTTATTTTGAAACTGGTATTCACCAAAAAAAACACCCCTGGGGCCTAGCTGTAGTATTTTCCCCCCTGTAAAAGGAAAAAAACAAGCTGGGTATGGTGGTTCAGGCCTTTAATCCCAACACTCAGGAGGCAGAGGCAGGTGGATCTCTGTGAGTTCAAGGCCAGCCTGGTCTATATAGCCAGTTCAGGCCGGGTGGAGCTACAGGGAGACACTGTTTCAAAAAAAAACCAAAAAAAAAAAAAAAAAAAAAAGTTCAAACTGAGGCGGGGAGGGAGGGACAATGGGTGTTATAATGTCTGCTTATGCTGGGGGATCTGTAGAGAGACTTTTTAAGTGCTAGGAACCCTTCCTTAGGCCAAACTGATAGTGACTGCTGGTTAGGAGACCTTAATCTCAAACACAAAATAGGGCAGAGGGCAATACTCTGAGTGAGGTTCTACTTTCCTGTCCAAAAACTGAGAGTGTTGGGTGACTAGTTCAGGTCATGCCTGGCTTATAGTGCTCTTTGCCCAGGGCGATTCAACTCTGTCCTACAATTTATTTTTATATAAATATTTACAGAGCAAATCCAGAGACTGTTGGGGAAAATAATGGGAAAGGAATCCTAGGCTTCCCAGGTTAAACTGCCTGCCCTTCTGCAGGAAATAGAAGACCCAAATCCAGAAACTGGAGACCTTTGCTCCTTCACACATCATCATAGTTAACTTTAATTGTCAGCTGGACACTGCCTAGAGTCATCTGAGAGCCTCCATTGAGGAATTGCCTAGAGCCAATTCATCAGGGGTGTGGAGGAGGCTGTCTTGATTATTAATTGATGTAGGAGCACCCAGCCCACTATGGGCAACCCCATTCCCTGGACAGGTGGTCCTGGGCTGTATGAAACTAGCTAAACAATGTGCCCCAAAGCGAGCTCAGCAGGCGGCCTTTCTCCATAGTTTCTGCTTTGAGTTCTTGCTCAACTTCCTGCCCTGAGTTCCCTTGGTGAGGGACTGTGAACGCAAAGCATAAGCCAAAGAAATCCTTTCCTCCTCTATATCGCCTTTGGTCAGTGTTTCATCATAGCAACAGAAAGGACACCAGAACACAACTCCTGCGTGCTACTCCCAGGGAAAGCTTAGTGTTCATGAAAAGGGGAGGGGCCGACACACCTGCCCTCTAAAGAAGGTCAAGTTTAGTTTCACAGAACCAACTAAGGATAGGAAGACAGTCTGCTTTTGTGTGCCCACGGGAACTCACCATCCTTCCCACCTAGACTCTCACCACCCAGCCTTCCCCAAACCACATGAGAGGCCTTACTTACTTCCTTTCCAGACCAGACACTACCAAGGCCACAGCCCTGACCTAGGAACCAATGCTTGAAATTAAAATGTCTTGGGTTGAAGAGATAACTAGGAAAATGAAAAAAAAAAAAAAAAAATAGGATTTTGGATTCTGTTAAGTTACAACCCTCTACCCCACATTCCCTTGAGTGGCTACTGACATTGTGTTACATGAGAACTTTGGACTGTACAGAGGTTTTTTGGTTTTTTTTTTTTTTTTTTTTTCAATCCCCAGCAGCTAATCTGAAGTTCATGTTAGTTTTGAGGACAGAGTGTGTTTTCATAAGTTAAAGTCATAAATAAATAGTCCTGGCAAATTACATGGTCCAAATATCTGTAGCCTGGGCCCTAAAATGCTGGGATAAGTACTGATCCCTCAGGGTACACTAATGGGCCCCTGGATGGTCAGGGAAGACACCAGTGTTCCCTATCCCTGAGGGGATGATTAAGAGTCAGAAAGAATCTGGTTTCAAATCCTAGTACTGCTCCTTCTAGTTGCATGACCTTGAACAAGTGGCTTAACTTCCGCAGCAGCCTGGCTTCTTCAGGTATGAACTAGGGATGGCCTTGGCCCCTGCCCCTTAGGGGGTTGTGATGTGGTGATGCCTGTGAATGACAGGAGCACATCACAACTGGCAATTACAGAGTACCTACTAAGCATTATCTGTAGCAAACAAAAGGGTAAGAACCATACTGTACCCTCTCTTAAACTCCCAGACACATGGTCCATGCTTTCCTCTCAGTGTGTGACTCCTTTTAGGTATTTGTCTGTGGTAAATTTATCTTAGCTCAAGAATCTGGGTCTTTTAATCTCCAGTTACCTACTCAGAACAAAAGTAGAACTGGAGGGGGCTGGAGAAAGAGAAATGACTCACGGGTTAAAAGCGCTGGCTACTCTTGCAGAGGACCCTGGTTGTGTTCCCAGCACCCACATGGCAGCTCACCAAGTGCCTGGAACTCCAGTTCGAGGGGATCTGATGCCCTCTCTGGTCTCTGAGGGGTCCTGCATACACATGGCACATGTAAACTTACATAGGCACACACACATATGCACATAAATAAATCCTTAAAAAAAAATAGAACTAAGCTAGCCAGCCTGGTGGCACATACCTTTAATCCCAGCACTTGGGAGGCAGAGGCAAGTGGAGTTCTGTGAGTTTGAGGCCAGCCTGGTCTGCATAGCAAGTTCCAGGCCAGCTGGGGATACAGGGAGACCTTGTCTCAAAAAAAAAAGAACTAGAGAATGAAAGAACTCCAGTGTCTACTTGTTGCTGCCGAAGGGGACCCATATTTGCTGCCTGCATCATCCTGAAACCCATCACCACTTTCAGCACCATGTCTGGCTTGTGGCCCTTGAAGCCTTTCCTTTCCACCGTCTGCTCCCAGGTACCACTGCTGCCTTCCTACCCACCTCATGTGCCCCTGTCATGTTGCTGGTCTCCTGCTTCCTGTCTGTCCACTTCCTCAGGCAGGTTTCCAATGACAAAAGAAAACTGCCCAGCCATAACCTCTGGCCACAGGACAGAGGAGTGGCACTGGGGCAGGCCTATAGAAGGACTTGATGAGTGGCAGGCTTATCATCCACAAGGCTCCCCTCACCAGCCATACCTTCTTGCAGGAGCAGGAAGCCACCCACCACCATGAGCAGCACTCTGTCACCCACAGACTTCGACAGCTTGGAGATCCAGGGCCAGTATAGTGACATCAACAACCGCTGGGACCTGCCTGACTCAGATTGGGACAATGACAGCAGTTCAGCCCGCCTCTTTGAGAGGTCCAGAATTAAGGCCCTGGCAGGTAAGGTCAGGGGAGGGTTGAGGAGGTGCTGAGCGTGCTGGTAGAGGCAGGCTTGTGAGCTTGGCAGGGAGAGTCCTTTACTTTTTATAGGAAGACGTCACTTTCTAAGCTGCTGTATTGAAGCTGCTGACCCGGAACATTTGTCAAGCCACCCTGGTCCCCAAATCCAACTCAAGGACAAATATCATGAGCTCTACATTTCCCATCTTCCCTCTCCTCTAGCCTAGAGATGTCAGCCACATTAACCCCAGAAGCACCTAGATGGATAGATCAGCCCCCCTTCCTGGCCTCAGACCTGAGTCACATCTCATGGCCCTTCATTGCTTTGCTGTTTTAGCTGTCACTTCTGTCTCCACCCGCCTCCCTCTTGCCTTCCCCTCCCAACAAGCCTTCCCAGATTTCGACTGTCATTTCCCACACCTGTTCTCCCTCTGGCCTATTTTCCCTGTACCCTCCACCTGCCTCCTGTTACTCTTATTATTTTATCTACCTGTTCCCTGAAGCAGGTTCTCTCCGCCTCTGCCGGATGCTGAGTACTGGTCCACAACCACCCTCCCATTCTCTCTGGGTTTGCTCTCCACCCACCTCAGCCCCTGCCCTCCCCTGCAGCCAGGGCTCTCCCCTTCTCTGCTCTGGGCACCCAAACCCGTCTGACTGGGCCTCCCAGCGTTCTGTTCCGGAGGAGGAGTTGTCATGGCAACAAGAGTGTGGCTGCCATCCGACACCACCAGTGACAGGACTGAGTCACCCACACACACACACACACACACACCCTAAGGCCACCCACCCAGTTTGCCCTTGGTGTCCATCCCACCCTCCTCACTGACCTGCTCATGGCCCAGCCCAGCCTAGCCCAGTGTGAGAGATCATTACTTCCACTTAAAAGATTGTTGTCTTAAATGGGGCAGCTCCTAGCAGAAGAGATTTGGAAGCCTAGGTGATTTTTACAAATGCAGATTCCTAAGCCTCCTCCTCACCCCAACGCAGTGAATTTTAGAACCTTTGGACACATATGGTCCAGAACTCAGAATTTTTAAGAAAATTCCCCAGAAAATTCTTAGCCAAGCAGCAGCCTGACCATCCCCGATGGTAGCCACAGCTTGTTTCTGGAGGTTCCTGGGGTCTTTTTGGGTGGGTCTATAGACTGGCTGGTGAAATATTCATATCAGTGATTCAGCAGTTCAGAGAAGACAGAAGACATGGGGTGTAAAGAATGTTACCTCCTTAGGGGAAGTTTCCCTGGTCCCCTGGTTTTAGACTCATGTGACCGCTAGTACTATCATTGATGTCTGTGTACACAGCACATGCCACCCAGGACTTTCACCGTGTCTACAATGCCAATTGTCACCATGTCTGCATAGGACTCACACCAACCCATGTGGTCATGTCTATGTGTGCATGCTATATGCTACTAGTGATATTGCCAGGTCTAATTCACATGACAGGTACTACCCAGAACTCTTACCATGTCTGTGAACATGCCATGTGCCACCCCGCAGTACTGCTACCATGTTTGAGCATTTGGCACATACTTTCCAATATTATCATAAATTTTGCACACAAGACCTGTGCCAAGCAGGATTCTCCAATGCCAATTGTCACCATGTCTGCATAGGACTCACACCAACCCATGTGGTCATGTCTATGTGTGCATGCTATATGCTACTAGTGATATTGCCAGGTCTAATTCACATGACAGGTACTACCCAGAACTCTTACCATGTCTGTGAACATGCCATGTGCCACCCCGCAGTACTGCTACCATGTTTGAGCATTTGGCACATACTTTCCAATATTATCATAAATTTTGCACACAAGACCTGTGCCAAGCAGGATTCTCTCCCCCCACTCCCTCACACACACACACACACACACACACACACACACACACACAGATTGTGTGTTTAACTCTCCCACTAGGCTGAGTTCCCTTGAAGAGGCTTTGCCTTGTACTGTGCTTCTCAGGAAGTGCAATACTTAACTCTCCATCCAGGCCACAAAAGCAAACACCAGCACACCTGGCTTCTCTTCCAGGATCTCCTTGCTTCCAAGTTTCTTTCTCTACTCCCACAGCTAAGATCAAAGCCCAGGCATCCTGGAGAGAGACCACCCAGAGACACCCAGAGAGGTCTGCTAGCAGCAGACCTTCTGGAAGCAGAAGTTTGCTTTGGGGCCCCCTCTGGCAGATCTTCCCTAGTCTTAGGCAATTAGTGGCAGCTCTCCTGGTGCTGGTCCGCCCCTGCGCCTGCCCCTGCCCCAACCGGCTCCACCTCCTGACTGCCCGCCCCTCCCCCGCAACTGTCCAACCTGTTTGTCTGGAGCTGCGTCGCCTCTCCTCTCAACCAGGTGTGCCCTTCTTGCTGTCTCTGGAGCTCAGGCATCCCATAACTTTTTTCCCACTCCTTGAAACTCCTAGCATCCTTGAAACTACTCCACCCAAGCAGGTACTGAAGACTTTTCCTGGACCCCCAGCAAAAAGGCTCCAGGGACAGGCACTTGCCACCTTGCCCTGGCAGGGGAGCATGGACTCTGGGCTGTGGGCTGTGTAGGAGGCAGCAGGCACCATGAGTGGGAACGGAGTGGGCAGGGTGCACGGAAATGGCCTGAATGGGGCTGGTGAGTCTTACTATGAGGCTGTGGAAGGGTCTCAGAACCCTGGGGGCCTGCTCTCACCAGCTGCCTTCATCAACCCTGCTCAGTATGCCAGTGTGCTGGAAGGACGCTTCAAACAACTCCAAGGTGAGTGCCCCTGAGCGAAGAGGAGCCTGTTGTGCCAGAAGGGACCTGGGGCAGGAGGAGCTAGCAGGGCCCAGGCTGAATGTGACTTAAATGTTTGTGTTGGGAGACAGGGTGATAGAGCTTAGAGAGAATCATTGCAGGTGGCCAGAGACTCCAGGGATGTGGGTGGAATCTCACTGAACAAGACTCTGTGAGGGTCATATGAGAGGTATGACCTTGAGGTTCTCTGCTGGGTACAAAGGTGATGAGGATGGAGGGAGCCTGTGGGTTAACGCCAGCACCTAGGGAGGCAGCAACAGGCTCTCCTGGGCAGCTCACCCTCAGGGTTTGGCCATGCCAGCCCTATTAGGGAAGGAGGGAAAGGGAGTGGGTCAGAGGCCTAGGACCCAGAACTTGTTTGTGCTTTCTTGGGCTTCTGAATGGGTGTGAAGGAAACAACTGTGTATAGAGACTGGGGAGAGGGTTTGCACACACAGGTCTGGAAGATGTCTGAACAGGAGTGATCCTCTTGGCATAAAAAGTACATTTCATGGTGTGGTGTGTTTGGGGATGTTGTGAGTGCCCTGTGATGTTACCCTTTGATGCTTTTGGGTCTTTCTGGCTACTACTCCCCACTTTCAGTCTGCCTGTGTGCCTCACACCAGCATGCCTGGCATCAGGGAGGTCTCCCAGTGGTGTCCAGATGACTTAAGCTGTCTCCAACTCACACAGGGCCTAGAGACCCTAAAAGGGACCAAGTCACTCCAGGTGCCAAAAATGGTGGGGCACATCCCATGTAGTCAAGAGGAGCCCAGGTTTGACACAGGTGAGGTGGTTAGCGATGAGAACAGCAGGAGTAGAGATGGGTGTGTGGCTGTTTTATGGGTGGGGTACACAGGAATGTGAGGTTAAGGGATGAGTCTTTCACATCTCTGAGGTGCTGTGCTGATGGAGACGAATGTGATTCTTTACAGCCTGACCACTTGGGCCGGCTCCTCACATGGAGCTTTCTTGAGAACAACTGGCAGGAATCTTGGCCTCCAAAGTAGTTTACAATACAGTTTACGCCTTTTTGCAATTACAAAGGTTTTTTTGTTTTGTTTTGTTGTTGTTATTGTTGTTTTGGCTTTTTTGAATCTGGGTCTCCCTGTAGCCCCAACTGACCTGGAACTCACTATGCAGACCACGCTGGCCTTGAACTCACAGAGCTCCTCCTGCCTGTACCAAGGCCTGTACCACCACACCCAGCCAGTTACAAAGTTTTTAATTTTCATTTCCCTGTGCAAACTGACAGCATCTCTTGTCAAGAGCTCCCCCTGGGAACCACGCAGCAGGGCCTTGCCCACCCTCTCAGAAGATGGCACTCAACTCTGCCTATACCCCTCCCTTGAACTGCCACATTTTTATTTTATTTATTTTTCTGGTCTTTTTGAGACGGTCCCATTGCAGCCCCAGCTGGCCTGGAACTCACTATGTAGACCAGGCAGGCCTTGAACTCACAGAGATCTGCCTGTCTCTGCCTCCCAAGTGCTGAGACTACAGGTGTGTGCTACCACGCCTGGCTTATTTCTTTTATTAAAAAATAATTTATTTTTATTTTTATTTAACATGTATGGGTGTCTTGCTTGCATGTAAGTCATGCAGTGCTCAAGGAGATCAGAAGAGGGCATCAGATCCCCTGGAACTAGAGTTACAGACAATTGGTAGCCACCATGTGGGTGCTGGGAATTGAACCCAGGTCCTCTGCAAGAGCAGCCCGTACTCTTAACTCTGAGCCATCTCTCCAGCCCAACATTTTTGTTTCTTAATCTTGGGATGTTGGTGTCCTGGGACTGGATCCTCTATAGACAACTGAGCAACCACACCCCAGGATAGAGTGGCCCACCTCTTCTGTACACAACCCCAGGACAGTGAGCTGGCTGAGAGGCTGTTCTACTGGCAAGTCCATTTGCTGACCACCTGGGAAAGCAACCACCATATTTACAGGCCACACCTTCTCCTTTGTCCACAGATGAAAGAAAAAGGCGACACTGCCTTTATCACAGCTGGGAGCCATCACACCAGGCACCTGCTGGATATGTCATACTCAGTGTCTCATTTAATCACCATAGTGACCCATTGAAGTAGAAAGTAATATACCCACCTTACAGATAGAGAAACTGAGGCTCTGATGACTGGAGTAAGCTGCCCAGTCTTACATCATGGAACCTAATTCCAGCCCCTTCCTAGACAGTTTCATCCTTTCTTCTTGAAGCTTTTTTTTTTTTTTTCATTCTTTTTGAGACTGTCTCCCTGTAGCCCCAGCCATCCTGGAACTCACTGTGAGGACCAGGCTGGCCTTGAACTCACCGGGATCTGCCTGCCTCAGCAGTTGCCTTTTTTTATTCTTTACTTTGTTCATGAACTCATTCCAATCTTCATTTTCTAGCTTTATAGGTTACTGATTCTTCTCCAGGCCTTCTCCTACCCCGCCTGTCTCCAGCTGTCTCTTCTACTCCCTCAGGCACCCCTATCCTCCACCCTACCAATTGGTGTTTAGAAGCAGGCATACTGTCCTTAGAGGATAGAAATGACCTCTTGTTACTACTGCAGATGAGCGAGAAGCCGTGCAGAAGAAAACCTTCACCAAGTGGGTGAACTCACACCTGGCCCGGGTGACATGCCGGGTGGGAGACCTGTACAGCGACCTGCGGGACGGGCGCAACCTCCTGAGGCTCCTGGAGGTGCTTTCAGGAGAGACACTGGTGAGCTGGGGTCGTGGAGGGAGGAAAGAGCCTCAGAGACACCCAACAGGACAAGCCACAGGAGGGGGGCCAAGTAGAACTTGGTGGTCCCTCTGCCCAGAGGATGGTCTCATTCCAAGAGGCTTTGCTGCATGGATTTCATAAGACCCGTGCTTTGCAGAGACAGAAACAGTGGCCCCATTGAAAACATTTCTTCTTTTACCCACTCTGGGTGCAGTTAATTCCCTTGGGAATCTTAATCTGCCCAAGCCTTATCTGTAACCTTGCTTGGGCTCCATAGCCTCTGGCCTGGCCCTGGGGCTGTCTCTGTATTCCTAAAGGAGATCATGGGAAGGTGTGTAGCAAGTCACCCAGAAGGCTGGGAGGGGAGGAGAGCTACTGTGCCATGCCTCAGTCCCCTCTGTACCCCACCAGCCAAAGCCCACAAAGGGCCGCATGCGGATTCACTGCCTGGAGAACGTGGACAAAGCACTGCAGTTCCTGAAGGAGCAGAAAGTGCACTTGGAGAACATGGGCTCCCATGACATTGTGGACGGAAACCACCGCCTGACCCTTGGGCTGGTGTGGACCATCATCCTTCGATTCCAGGTACCCTCGAAGTGTTATCCTAGGTGTGAGCTGGCCTGACCAGTTCTATGCCCCACACTGTTGCTGCTGGTCCATGACAAGATAAATGAAAATGGAGCATCTAGAGCCTTCTAGAGCAGTTTGCCTTTGCAACAGTATCCATATTCCTGGTCAGGGGAAAAGTCACTTCTGTGGCAAGTTCCCCAATGCTGGTCATATGTATTAGGACCCAGCCTGGTGTATGAGGGGCTGGAAGGGTTTTTGTTTTTTTGTTATTTGTTTATTTGATCTTTTTGAGAGAGGGTCCCCCTGTAGTCCCAGCTGGCCTGGAACTCTCTGTGTAGCCCAGGCTGGCCTGAAACTCACAGAGATGCAACTGCCTCTGCCTCCCAAGTGCTTGGATTAAAAGTGTGGCCCAGGCTGGAAGTTTTATAAACCAATTTCACTACAGGAGTGGTCTGGCCTCTGTCCTCTTTGTGCTCCCAATGTGCCTGTCCTTCCCCAGTTGGGCTCTCCCCCTTTCAACCCTAAGCAGAGCTCCTTCAGTCCCACCTTTGGAATCCAGCTTTTGGAAGTGTTCACTCATCTCCCCCCATCCCCCACCGGGAAGAACCCACACCCTTTACCCACAGGCATTTATACTCCATTCCTACTCTACATCCCTCAAAAGACCTGACAATATGTGTCACTAGCCCCGGTTGAAAGGACCCTAGGCCCCTGTCCCTTTACCCCTATAACAGTACTCTAAAGAACCATTTCCGATTTTTCTCTGAGTATCTCATGATAATGCCATGGCACATCTAGGTAGTGAAGGCCCTGTTTGCTTCCTTCACAGATCCAAGACATCAGCGTGGAGACAGAAGACAACAAGGAGAAAAAGTCAGCCAAGGACGCCCTGCTGCTGTGGTGCCAGATGAAGACTGCAGGGTGCGCAGGCTTGGGAAGCTGGCCATGGGGGCTGGCCATACCAAGGCTGGAAGGATAGGCTTTGAGCTCCACTACCTGGTCACTGTCCCTGCATCATGGACCAGGGCTCTGTGCCACTCACTGTGTTTTTCTGGTCTCTGTTTGTAGGTATCCCAATGTCAATGTGCACAACTTCACCACCAGTTGGAGAGATGGGCTGGCCTTTAATGCCATCGTGCACAAACACCGGTGAGAAGATGGGGTTAGTGAGTGTATGGGTTAAAGATCCCGGGGCACACAACATAGGACAAGAGAAAGAATGAAAGGAAATACCAGTATTTGGGAAGCAGGAGCAAAAGGATAGCAAGTTCAAGTTCAAGGCCAGCCTGATTTACATAGTGAATTCCAGACCAGCCAAGGCTACATAGCAAGACCTTATCTCAAAACAGAAAGAAAAGAGCCAGGGAAGGGGGCCCACGCCTTTAAGCAGGTGAGTCTCTGTAAGATCTAAGCCAGCCCTGTCTCAACTGTGAGTTCCAGGTCATGGGGATACAGGGAGATCCTGTCTGAAAAGACTGAAAACATAAAAAGAAGAAAAGAGAAAGTGTGGGGAGAGGAGCCAGGATGTGCGGGTGCCATACTTCACAGAGAACTTGTGATAGGAAGCAGGGGGGTAGAATTGGGGTGTTCCTTCTGGACAACATCCATTGGAAACTTGGGGATAAAGATAGGGATGGATTTATCTTTTTCTTTAGGAGATGACATCCTGTGTTCTTGTCTCCTCCGCTACCCGCAGGCCAGACCTCCTGGATTTCGAATCCTTGAAGAAGTGCAATGCACACTACAACCTACAGAATGTTTTCAATCTGGCTGAAAAGGAGCTGGGCCTGACCAAGCTGCTGGATCCTGAAGGTGGGCCAGAGCTCTGCAAAATGGGTAGAGCAGACAGAAGGCAAACTGGTGGTTTCCAGGGAGGACCAGCAGAAGTGGAGGGCTGCAAATAAATGTTCTGGAATTAGGTATAATGATAATGGTACAGCCTTGTGAATGTACCCCACATTGCTGAACTATATACTTTAAAAGGATGAATTTTATGGTAAGAAAGTTATATCTCAAAAAAAAAAAAAGGCCTGGTAATGGGAGGGTTTGCTCTCAAACTCAGGAAAAAGAGGGTTTAGAGTTTAAAGCACAACTTTGCGCCATATGTACCCCACATTGCTGAACTATATACTTTAAAAGGATGAATTTTATGGTAAGAAAGTTATATCTCAAAAAAAAAAAAAGTGCCTGGTAATGGTAGGTTATGCTCTAACACTCAGGAAATAGAGGATTAAGAGTTTAAAGCCAGCCTTGGCTACATAGCAAGTTTGAGGCCAGCCTTGGCTCCATGAGGCCTCAAAACAAACAAAATTGTAGAAAAAAAGGGAGCCCTGCCTCAGAAAGAGCCCTAGGTTCTGGGTTCCGTCCCAGCCCAGCCCACCTGTATGACTTAGAGCCAGGCACTTAGCCTGGCTTAGTTTCCTCATCTCTAAAGTGAGAAGTATAGGGCTGGGAATGAAACTCAGAGGTGGCGTTGCCTCGTGTGCATAAGGCTCTGGGTCCAATTCCGGGCACCACAAAATTAAATACTTTTTTTAAAGCAAATAAAATGAGAGGACTGGGCCACATGGTCTGAGGGCCTCCTGTATTCTAAAATTCTAGGGTTCTAAATTAAGCTACACAGCCTTGGTTTCACCAAGCACTAGCCAATGGTCAGCTGTCCCTGTTGACTGGCTTCCATGGTACTAAGATCAGTAACGGCCCCTGGGCTCTTGACATCCTCTAATTATCCTCACAACACCCATTTGAAATCAGTACCATTATTATCCTGGGTTTATGGAAGAGATGGGGCCTATAAAGGTCAAGTGATTGGCTCAAGGTCATATTCAGGTTCAACCTGGCTCCAGAGCCTGTTTCCTCAGCTGCTTCTGCAGAGCAGAGCAGTCTGGGTGCAGCCGGAAAAGGGCGGAGAGCAGGGCCACGTGCCTCTGTCAGAAGCGATCCTTCTTAACCATGTGGAGCTCAGTCACTTTCCCTCCACTTTTCATCCCTCTTGTAGACTCACTGTGGTGCCCTCTTGGTTGAGAATGGCAGGCATGGCATTAAGCTGCCACTCAGAATGTCTTGGCTACTTAAAAGTAGGCTTAGTACAAAGTTCCTTGGAGAACATTTGAGGATGGCTTGAGTAACACAGGAGTAAAGCAAACTTTCTTGTGACTTTATAAGGTGACTGCAGGAGCATCTCCTTGCCTGGGTGTTTTAAAAGCTTTGAGGGGTCCCAGTCCTGCCTTTGGGAGGGGGTGATATCTGGCCTAATGCAGATAGCCCAGGGTTTCAAGTCGTCATCAGCCTTGGTGGAAGGTGTTTGGACTTGAAGGATACTTACCTCCTTGGGTGCGCCCATGGCTAAGCTTTGGGACCCTGATTGAAAACAGCAGTGACCATCACACCCAGCTTCATGAGGCTTAGCTCCAAGCTTTTGTCCCACTATCCCTGAATCCATTGATTTCTTAAAACATATTTCCAGCTTCTATGAGTCCTTTCTGGAAAGCAAGTTTCTGATGTCTGTCTGACCTGAGTGGTCCTTTTTCTCAGATGTGAATGTGGATCAACCAGATGAGAAATCGATCATTACTTATGTGGCCACCTACTACCACTACTTCTCGAAGATGAAGGCCCTGGCTGTGGAAGGCAAAAGAATTGGCAAGGTACCCCCACCATGAGACAGTAGGCAAAAGCGCCAGAGGAGGCCTGGCCTAGGTCTTATTCCCCTAATATGGCGAGCAGGGTGGAGCCATAGCCCTGGGCAGACACCCACATCCCTGTCTCCTGTCCCACAGGTCCTGGACCACGCCATGGAAGCAGAGCACCTGGTGGAGAAGTATGAATCCCTGGCCTCTGAACTGCTGCAGTGGATTGAGCAAACAATTGTGACCCTCAATGACCGGCAGTTGGCCAACTCCCTGAGTGGGGTCCAGAACCAGCTGCAGTCCTTCAACTCCTACCGCACCGTAGAGAAGCCACCCAAGTAGGTGTCCCCAGGTCACACCCTACCAGAGCATGCCTTCCCATGAGGAAGAAAGCCTAAATGAGGGTAACCTTTTGGGAGGGACATTTGGCAGTACAGAAATGCAGCCAGCCAGGGCCCATTTCCCTCAAGTCAAAGTGCCGAAAGCATCCAAACAGCACAGTTGCTCCGAGATACATTTTCTTATGACTAGCCTTTTTTTTGTCTTTCTGAGACAGGGTCTTCCTGTAGCCTCAGCTGGCCTGGAACTCGCTATGTAGACCAGGCTGGCCTTGAACTCAGAGATCTGCTGGGATTAAAGGTGTGCGCCACCACGCCCGGCCTGACTAGCCATTTTTAAAAACTACACCGTGGAAGAATGACTACCATGGCGTGTCAAGTTGGTATAATTCATCTGATAAAATTTCTAGTTGCAAGTCAAGTGTGGTGGCTCATACCTGTAAACCCCAAGACTTGAGATTCTGAGGCAGGAGGATATCATGAGTTTGAGGCCAGCCCAGGCTACATAGTGAGTTCCATCCTGGGTAAGAGTAAGACCCTGTCTCAAAAAAAAAAAAAAAAATTACTGGTGAGGGTCTTACAGCACTGCAGTCCCAGAGGGTATAGAACAGGCAGGACTGGACCAGCAGGCAGGTTAGCAGCTGGTAATATAGTGTGGCTAATAGCATTGCCAAGTTCTTACTACTTTTAGCAATGAACTATTAACAGTTCTATATAGCACAGACTGAAGTGTGTGTGTGAGAGAGAGAGAGGGAGAGAGAGAGAGATCAATCCAGCTCTTTTAGAGTTAATATGTGTTAGCTCCAAAACTAATATTCATCCAGAAAACTATTCCTATACAGCCATGGGATGATTCAGAGTGTGCCCTTTGCATGAAAATACTTTTCTGGGCATTCAACAAGAGATGTATTCTCAAGAATGCTTCCCAACATGACTTTTGTAAAAGAAAATAAGTCAGGACTAGAGAGATAGCTCAACAGTTAGGAACATTTGCTGCTCTTGCAGAGGACCTAGGTTCAGTTCCCAGCACCCAGATGGCAGATCACAACCATCTGTAACTCCAGTGCCAGAGGAACTAATACCTTCTTCTGGCCTCTGCAGGCATTGCATAATACAGGTGCACTTACGTACATGCAGGCAAAACATTCATACACATAAATAAAAATAAACCTTTTCTTAAAAAAGGACTACTGGGACTAGAGATGGCTCAGCAGTTAAGAGCACTGGCTGCTCTTGCAGAGGACCTGTGTTCATTTTCCAGCATCCAATTGGCAGCTAACAACCATTTAAAACTCCAGCTCCAGGGAATCTGACACTCTCTTCTGACCTTTGCAGGCATTGCACAACACGGGTGCACTTACACCCATGCAGGCATTACACTCATACACATAAAATAAAAATAATGAATAAAATATTTAAAAAATAAAAACTTAAAATTTAAAAAAAGGAATAATAAGTCATGAGGTAGCCACCAAAAATAGCATCAAAGAAACATGTTTGTGACATGAAAAGATAGTCACAGTTTGAAGAGATAGGCTGCAAGAGTTCTTGATAGGCCACAGAGAACAAGTGATAAGCATCCAGGTTTAAAGTGCCCCAGTTCAAATCCCAGCTCTGCCACTGAGCAGTGGTGTGTTTTGGACACCTCACATAGCATTTCTGCATTTTAGTTTTCTCATCTGGAAAATGGGGATAATGAGGGAATGCAAACGATGAGGCGATGTAATCTGTGTGTGTTCTAGTGCTGAGAAGAGCTGAGCATTGCCTGGGTCGCAACAGTTGAGTTCTTGATCATTGAACTGCAGTTATATGGGATCCCCATTTATGTGAGACAGAAATCAGCACATCCATGCAAAAGGGCAACAGCTGTCATCGTTTCTGTGGGGCTTTTGGTTGCTTTAAAATGATATTCTTGCCAGGCGTGGTGGTGCACACCTTTAATCCCAGCACTCGGGAGGCAGAGGCAGGCGAATCTTTGTGAGTTCGAGGTCAGCCTGGTCCACATAGTAAGTTCCAGGACAGCTGGGGCTACAGGGAGACCCTGTCTCAAAAAGACCAAAAAAAAAAAAAAAAAAAATGATATTCTTGTTGGGCCTGCAGTTGCAGGTTTATAATCTGAGCTCTTCTGGAAGCTGAGACAGGAAGATCACAAGTTTAAGGTCTGTCTGAAGTGTAGAGTGAGTTCAAGGCCAGCCTGGGCAACTTAGTGGGACTCTGTATCAAAATAGAAAGTTTTAGTTTGTTTGTTTTTGTCTTTTTGAGACAAGGTCTCTATGTAGCCCCAGCTGGCCTGGAATTCAGAGATCCACCTGCCTCTGCTGGGATTAAAGGTGTGCACCACCACATCTGGCCCAAAATAGAGCTTTTTTGAAAAAAGAGCTGGAGATACATTTCTGTGGTAGAGCATTTGTTTAGCATGAGTGAGGCCCTGGTTCCCATTCCCAGTATTGCAATAAAGAAAGAAAATGAAGTTCTTGACCCAAGCAGAGAGACACACTCCTAGCATCTCGGCACTCCAAAGGGAGAGGCAGAAGACTCATGAGTACAAGGCTAGCCTGGACTACATAACAAGACCGTTTTCCAAAACAAGAGGAAAAGAGTGTTCTTTTGCTTTGTCAATGTGTTTTGACTTTCACACAAAAAATCATGTGTTGTGGTTATGAGAAATGCAACATGGGACACTCTGTGCTGTAGACTCAACCTTGGGCCCCTCACAGCTTTGCCTCTAATCCCGACTTGGCTTCTGCTTCAGGTTCACGGAGAAAGGGAACTTGGAGGTGCTGCTCTTCACCATCCAGAGCAAGCTGCGGGCCAACAACCAGAAGGTCTACACACCCCGTGAGGGCCGGCTCATCTCCGACATCAACAAGGTCCGGGGCCTCCCTTGACATCTGGAGGTGGCCATCTCCACAGTCCTTGGCCTGGACACCTTTCATATGTCCATGACCTGGGTCTTTCTAGATCTCCTCCAAGCCCTACTACCCTAAGTAGATGCTCACCCCCACTGCCCACACCCCCAAATGTGATTCTGGTGTCCTTTGTGCCTGTGAGCCCTCCAGTCAGGGCCCGTTAAGAAACTAACTCTCGGGGCTGGAGAGATGGCTCAGAGGTTAAGAACACTGACTGTTCTTGCAGAAGACCCAGGTTTGAATCCCAGCACCCACATGGCAGCTAACAACTGTCCATAACTCCAGTTCCAGGGGATCTGACAACCTCTTCTGTCCTCCGTGGGCACTGCATGATACGGGTACACTTACCTACATGCAGGCAATACATGCATACACATAAAATAAATAAAAAATAGTATGTTCAGCCTGTCCCCATCTCACCATCTCACCTTCTATTTCGTGTTCTCATAACCAGGATTATAAGATTAATGAAAGTAGACTGAGGTTCATCCACAGTCCTGCCACTGTAAACAAATGACCTCAGACTGCTTCTGGAAAGCAGTTATGTGGCCTCACAGCTTCCCTGGCACCTCCCCTTTTCCTCATACTTCCACTCACCGGATCCACCAGACCCAGCTTCTGAGGGACTTTCCTGGGCCCGGCCCTGCTGACCCACTCTACCTGGGCCCTACCACACAGGCCTGGGAGCGGCTGGAGAAAGCTGAGCACGAGCGTGAGCTGGCCCTGCGCACGGAGCTGATACGCCAGGAGAAGCTGGAGCAACTGGCTGCCCGTTTCGACCGAAAGGCCGCCATGCGGGAAACCTGGCTCAGCGAGAACCAACGACTAGTGTCCCAGGTAGGACCCAGGCTCCAGGGATATCCAGCTAGTGGAGAAAAGTGCAAGAGAGACAGTAGCAGGGGAGGGACGCTGCAGGGTGGGGAGATGAGGAAACATGGTCTCTGTCATGTAAGTAGAAAGACCAGAAAACCCAGGATCTGGGCACCCAAGACTTCCAAGAGAAAGGACAGAGTGGGATGGAGGGGACAGAGAGCCGCTACATGAAGCTGACATCCGGCAGCCAGCATACTCTGGGGCTTAAGGAGAGCACGCAGAGGTGCTGTCCCCGAGCTTCCCTTCCCTGCCTCCACCATAGGACAACTTTGGGCTGGAGCTGGCAGCAGTCGAGGCTGCAGTGCGGAAGCATGAAGCTATTGAGACAGACATCGTGGCCTACAGTGGCCGGGTACAGGCGGTGGATGCTGTGGCCGCAGAACTGGCAGCCGAGCACTACCATGACATCAAGCGCATCGCTGCGCGGCAGCACAACGTGGCTCGGCTCTGGGACTTCCTGCGGGAGATGGTGGCTGCCCGCCGAGAGCGGCTTCTTCTCAACCTGGACCTGCAGAAGGTGTTTCAGGACCTGCTCTACCTCATGGACTGGATGGCAGAGATGAAGGTAGCAGACGTTCATGGCAGGAGTCCTGGGAGTGCAGATGCACTATTCAGCCCATCTCTCATGCAAAGCCAGCCCCTCCTAATGTTGATGGATGAGCAGAGCAGACAGTCTGTGTGGGGCTCCCAACCTAGAGGGAGGAGACCGATTAAAAACCATAGATACCACAGCAAGTGGTCCTAAAGCCAGGGGACACTGGAGCAGGTGGTTGGGAAGGTCTTTCTGAGAGGAGACCATTTGCTCCGAGGCAAGGAGCCAGCCCAGTGAGATCTGAGTAGGTTCTGGTCAGAAGGATAGCAAAGCGAAGACCCTGAGCTGTGCAGGTGGGGCACGTGTGATTGCAGAGGAAGGCCAGACTCAAAGGGGTTGGAGGGGGATGGCCATCTCACTTAAAAGCTACACAGGCCTAGTGAAGGAGTTTGGATTTTATTCAACACAGAGCATTTAGTGTTTTACAGAGTTTCAAGAAAGCAAGAGATGTGATTCTACCTTATATATTTAGAAAGTCCTTTGGGCTGCTATGTGGGGAGCAAGAATGGGAGCAGAGAGACCAGTTAGGGGCTATTGCCATCTTCTGGGTGGGAGGTGGGCTTAAGGGTTGGTCGCTCTGGAAGAGACCGAGAAGGACACTGGGGTGGAACAGTGACAATAGAAGGTTCGAGAGCTGAGAAGAAGAGTCACAGTAAAGATTTCAGGACTGGAATTAGTAAGAAAGCTGTTGCATGGAGAGTGACTGAAGATAAGGAGCCGGGTGTGAAGACAGAACTGGGGTGTCCCTGTGTGTGTGAGTGAGCAGGTATGTAACTAACATGGAGTTATCCAGAGAGGGTGGAAGGTGCAGTAAGGCTGGCATGCTGGTAGCATGTTGGGCAACTCTCAGACGGGCGTTGGCATGCTGCATGTGCCTGGCAGGGCCGACTGCAGTCTCAGGACCTGGGCAAACACCTGGCTGGTGTGGAGGATCTGCTGCAGCTGCACGAGCTGGTGGAGGCAGACATCGCCGTGCAAGCTGAGAGAGTGCGGGCCATCAGCGCCTCTGCCTTGCGTTTCTGCGACCCAGAGAAAGGTGAAAAGGGGGAGGGGGGCTGGAAATAGAGGGACTAGGAAAGGGAACAGGCTCTATCACCTGGGAAAACTTGGGAACAGGATCGCTGATAGGTAGATGACAGGTAACAGCTAGATCCAGGAGGGAAGCCTACCAGGGTGGGCTGAGGGGATTCACAACTGAGGTTGGTTGGGAACAGATAGAGCTCTGGACGTGTCTTGGTTTTTTTCAGAGTACAGACCGTGTGACCCACAGCTGGTGTCAGAGCGGGTGGCCACCCTAGAGCAGAGCTATGAAGCCCTGTGTGAGTTGGCAGCGACTAGGAGGGCCCGTCTGGAAGAGTCCCGGCGCCTCTGGAGGTTCCTGTGGGAGGTGGGCGAGGCTGAGGCCTGGGTGCGGGAGCAGCAGCACCTCCTGGCCTCAGCTGAGACAGGCCGGGACCTGACCGGTGTCCTCCGCCTGCTCAACAAGCACACAGCCCTGCGGGGTGAGATGAGTGGTCGGCTAGGACCCCTGAAGCTCACTCTGGAACAAGGCCAGCAGTTGGTTGCTGAGGGCCACCCTGGAGCCAGCCAGGCCTCAGCCCGTGCAGCAGAGCTCCAGGCCCAGTGGGAGCGGCTGGAGGCCCTGGCTGAGGAGCGAGCCCAGCGGCTAGCACAAGCTGCCAGCCTCTACCAGTTCCAAGCAGATGCAAACGACATGGAGGCCTGGTTGGTGGATGCACTGCGCCTGGTGTCCAGCCCTGAGGTAGGGCATGATGAGTTCTCCACGCAGGCCCTGGCCAGGCAGCACCGGGCCCTCGAGGAGGAGATCCGAGGTCACCGACCTACCCTGGATGCCTTGAAGGAGCAGGCTGCAGCCCTGCCTCCTGCACTGAGCCACACGCCGGAGGTGCAGGGCAGGGTTCCCACTCTGGAGCGGCACTACGAGGAGCTGCAGGCCCGGGCAGGCGAGCGTGCGCGAGCCCTGGAGGCAGCCCTGGCACTCTACACCATGTTAAGCGAGGCTGGGGCCTGTGGACTCTGGGTGGAGGAGAAGGAGCAGTGGCTCAATGGGCTGGCCCTGCCTGAGCGCCTGGAGGACCTGGAGGTGGTGCAGCAAAGGTAGGGCCTGCAGCTTTCTCTGAGATCCATCACTATGTAGCCTTGGCTGGCCTCAAACTCACCATGTAGACCAGGCTGGCCTCGAACCCATGCACCTCTGCCTCCTGAGTACTGATATTAAAGGTGTGCCCCACTGTACCCAACAATATTACTTTTTTAAAAGGATTTGTTTTTATTTATGTGTATGTTTTTGTCTGTCTGTATGTATGCCACATGTGTGGTGTTGGATCCCCTGGAACTGGAGTTACAGGCAGTTGTGAGTTGCCCGACAGATGCTGGGAACCAAACTCAGATCCTCTGGAAAAGCAATACATGCTCTTAATTGCTAAGCCATCTGTACAGCCCCTATAATATTACTTATAAATTATGTATGGGGTTAAAATAGCTGAGGATTGGAAGCTGGGTACGGTGGAGCATGCCTGTGCCTCCACAAGTTTGAGAGCCAGTCTGAGCTATGTAGCAAGTTCCAGGAAAGCCTGGGCTTTGTGAAACAACAAATTTTTAAAATACCTGAGAAGTTAACAATGTTTTATTCAGAGACACTGTTTAAACTCATCAATAGGTTTATTTGTAGAATAATAAACCTTAAAGTCATTTAGAAAAACATTTTTCTCATAGAACTTCAATACCATTGTACACAGAACAAGACCAGTAATTCCTTGATGTCACCTACTATTAGTCTATAATCTAATTTCCTGGCATCTTAACAAATGTATTTTTTTATAGTTTTCAAGATACGCTGTTATAGGATAAGCTTGACACACTATAACCCTTGTACCAAATCCAGTCTGCTGCCCAATTTTCTTTTTTTTTTTTTTTGGTTTTTTAAATAAACAATAATGGGAAACAAACCCCCCCCCCTAATTTTCTCTCATTTTTGGCTTGTCACC